CTGGAGAGGCCAGGCTTGAATGCTTGATGCTGCCTTGCCAGAAAATGGCCAGTAATACTACATATGTTGTCTGCTTAAATACCACAGAGCTATATCTATGGAGGTTATGAAGGTGATACCTCTATGCACTTCCAAAAATAAGCAGTATCATTTAAGTCAATTGTAGAGTCATTAATTTCAATAGGACTACAATATATTAAAATCCCAGGTTACCAGTTTAATAAAAGCAGCTGATCAGGCTATACATCACCCAGTTTTAAATATCAATGTGAAATTGCAGTCCTCGGTTACTGGAACATTCTCATTGTGACGATGAAGCCCAATCTTTTCAATTTTTGTGAACTGGAAAATTTCAGCAGCTGAGCATATCAGTTATTGAATGTGCAAATTGGTATTAAATATCCCTGTGGAAACTGTCAGTCATAAATAGCTAGGGATTGTGCCTTCTTCTAAAGAATGGGATCAGTAAGTGTGTGATACTGTTCCTATTGAAGTCAGTGGCAAAATGCCCACAGAATGTAAGAAGAAGAAGAGATTTGATTTATATCCTGCCCTTCACTGCCCAAAGGTGTCTCAGAGCAGCTTACAAACTCCTTTCCCTTCCCCTCCCCACAACAGACACCCTGTGAGATAGGTGGGGCTGAGAGAGCTCTGACAGAAACTGCTCTTTTTCAAGGACAGCTCTTATCAGAAGTACGGCTTGCCCAAGGTCATCCAGCCAGGTGCAAGTGGAGGGGAATCAAACCCGGTTCTCCCAGATTAGAGTCCACGCACTTAGCCACTACACCAAACTGTAAGGGAGTACAAGATTGCAGATTGTGTAATTTAAGCAAAATGGGATTTTAAATTCTGCAAGATTCCTTCTGGTTACATGTTCAGTTTATTAAAAGAAGACGAAGAAGAAGCAGGAACCCATGCCATTTCAAAGGTGAACTTGTATATATCATACAATGCATCCTTTGCTCCAAATAATCTATCCATTAATTTTTTTGTCAGACATTGCTTTAAACATTCCCTTTAAAATTTAGGGCAAAATTCTTTCCCCTTCCCCATGCATGTGCAGCTACATGCATATAGCCATTGGCCCAATGGAGCCTCCTTCTCTCCTCCCACTTGGTACTTGCTACTCCAAGTAAGAATTAGGGATCTGCAAGAAAAAAAATGGCATATTTTTGGATTTGGGGGTTTTGGACCCTTAAAAATTTTGTATTGCTTTGAAAACCTGAATTCCAGTATCTGTATTGTATTGGTATTCAGGTAAAATTCAGGAAACCCATTTTTTTTTGTTCCACTATATCCTATGGGGCCATTATAGTCAATGGCAAATCTCCTAGGGTTTATTCAGTGGGCTTGGGGGGAGTGGGTTTGAGGTAGAGGTACCAAATTTGCAGTGTAGCTGCTGGAGCCTCTCCCCAAAAGAACCTCCAAATTTCAAAAAGATTGGGCCAGGGGTCCGATTCTATGGGCACCCAAAGCAGGTGTCCCCATCCTCCATTGATTCTAAAGGTGGGGGGAAAGCAAGGCAGGCATACAACATGCCCAGCAGATTCTCCCAGAGAATCTCTGCAGTAGAATGTGAAGTATGAGGAGGGGGGATGTTTGTAAAGCCAGCAGCAGGACAAGTGCAATGTGCCCAGCAGAACCAGTGCCAGTACCCAACAGGACTAAGGTCAAATCTGAGAATCTCCATTGTTTCCAGTGGTGGGAGGAAAGTAAGGCAGGCTACAACAAGCCCAGCAGATTCTCCCAGAGAGTCTGCTGTAGAAAGTGAGGTGTTGGGAAGGGACATGTTTGCAAGGCCAGCAGCAGAACCAGCACAATGTGCCCAGCAGAACCAGTGCCACTCTGACAGTCCCAAAACCCAATGGATTTGACCCTGTTTGGGTGCCCATAGAATTGTTCCTCCTGTCCTGATCTTTTTGAAACTTGGAGATTACCTTGGGGAGAGGCTCCAGCAGCTACACTGCAAATTTGGTGCCTCTACCTCAAATCCCTCCTGCCAGCCACTAAATATACCCTAGGAGATTTGCCATTGAGTATAATAGCCCCATAGGGTATAATAGAGCCAAAACATTCTGGATTCTTGAATTAATTCAGGATTCTCTTATTGATAAACTGAATCCGATTTGGCTTAAGTAATGCCTGAATCATGCCAAAAAGGCATGATTCAGGTATTAATTCAGCTCAGAAATACTGAATACTCATCCCTAGTAAGAATGCTTCCTCTTTCCTCACCCAACCTTCCCAGCAGAGAATTTTACTTTGAGAAAGAGGATGGAAGATGCCTCCACTGGATCCAGAGGCAGTGTCAGTTTCCACACACAGAGAGCTGGTGTTCCTGCCAAGCAGGGCCGTGTACTTAGTATTTGTACAAAGTAATATTTTGAAGTCTTGATTAGTTTTATTGTGGTTTTCAGTGTTAAAGAACAATCTTTTTTAAAGCTCTATTGTGTGACCATTGTAAAAAAATGGGGGTATTATAACAAACCACTTAATAAATTGTGTATTCAACAGAGGAGACAGATGTTTTATCCCTAATGATTAAGTATTCAAGTATGTCAGACTGCTGAATGGATCCAAAACATTTGAATGTTAGTTTTGCACATCCAGTAAGAGACGGTCATTTAGTGCCTCTCTAAATAATTGAAAACACCTGCCATTATCTCATGTTTAGAAACTGGTAATGAGACAAGAATGCATTGACTCTGCCATTTTGCATCTGTTTCAATCAATGGGTATATTTCAGTATGCATATTAGTATCCATTATAGACTTTTGTGTAAATGAAGAGCAGTCTGTTAACCTTCCACACAATCAGGAGATGAAATGAATGAACTGTCTGTACAGTAAGAAAAACTGGAAGTTGCCTCATTTGTGCTCAGTGCCTAACAACAACAACAACACCTAAAGCATACAGGAAATCACACTTCTGAGGCCACCTGCTGCTTTTTCCTGCTTTACCTTTTGGCTACAATATGGAGATGTTGAAGTCCCTTGAAAAGGTAGCTGGATGAGGTTGCTGCAGATCTGCAAAAATGGATCTTCCTTGAGAAATAATCCTGCTGAAAAGCTTCCCCCCGGCCATTGGGCTGAAGAAGGCTAAGGCTTGAAGTAGGCTGCTTGTGGGGCTGCATGTGCAGCGTTCAGTTTATATAGTCCCTTTGCCCCCATGGTCATTTCAGCTTGAGAAATGGCACAGGGGGAAGGGAGAAATGGCACAGCTTGGCACAGGGGAAAGATAAAGACCCTTCTTTCTCCTCCCCCTCCCATTCTATGGTCCTAATCCAAATAGGGCCCTGCAGTGCTTGGGCAAATAAGTTCCATACAGCTACCATCTGAATGTGGGGCAGGCGAGTCAGATCAGGAGCATCCCAACCCATCTTGCAGATTAGCAGCTTGTCTAGTTCAGAATTTAGCAGTAAGTGAGTATCAACTGTATAAAGGTATCCATTTGGTCCTTATAGGGAAAAGCACTAGAGCAGAAAAAAATATGGGAGACTGGTTTGAAAATGAAATCTCATTCCACAACTGCTCATTAATCTCGCTTTAGTATAATCAAAACATTAATGTGTGCAAAATCTACTCATAGCCAGCTGCTGAGTCAGAGCTTCTCTGGTGAGATAAACATAATGAAAATTAGAAATACAAGATACAATTCATGCCAAAGATTTATTGAGAATGAGCCTGGAACTTGGTTTCTGGGAGAGCATTTCTTCTTTTCCCATTCCCATTACATAAAAATAGAGGAAAGGTGGCTTTGAGGGACTCCCAATGAGAGAGTGTTAAGTACCTTCTCCTACCCACCACTTTTCCTTTAGAAATTCCCCAGATGTACTTTGCACATCTTAGGCAAATGTGGAATCCTATGTTTGCTGGTGAACATCAATTTCTGTCTTGAAGTTGTTTCATCAGAGTTAAGCTACATTTTATTTTAATGAGAATATTCATATCCCGTCTTTTCAGATGCCTGTTCTATGTTGCAAAGAATTCTATATCTTTCCCTTTTAACTTAAAACAGCTTAGTTAAACTGTAGCCCTGTGAGGAGAGGCTGCTTAGCTCTTTCCCCTATGGTTGTTTTAGACTCAGAATTGTCCTCCTCAAACTGTTTTTGTTTTGCAACAGCAAAATGGGGAAAGAGATGGAGAAGTGAGGGAAACTCTGGGTAAAATTCACCTATTCCGTTCTGATAAATGAGAAGTCGTCCTCTGAAGGGGTTCTTCCAATTAAGCAAGAATACTCACAGTGGAGGGGAGTTATTGGATCCAGCTCCTTGTATCTCTCCCCTGCAGGTGAAAAACCCGGTTGGAGTTTGTGATTTTGAACTGGAAAAGGACCAGAGGAGAAAGCTTAAGCAGTGTCTCTCTGCATACCCTTCCTCCACTTGAATTGAAAGCTTGCCCAGCTTTCTTGGAGCATAGAACAATCACAAAAGAAAATGTATCAAAAGTGTAATTTTCAGAATCATAGAGAGCTATCTCGTAACCAGTCTATCCCAGAAGAAGCTCACCCGCAAACAGTAACATGCCAATGTTGAAATTGTGCTGTATTATTTCTAAAAACAATCTGCTGCATCATCATCATCATCATCATCATATTGAATTATGGTATTCTATTTTTTGTAAACTGATAGCGGTTTCCATTCATTGTAGTGTCTGTAAGAGTAATATTTTCATAAGCAAAGCATGGCTTTCCAATTCAGAAACACATGTATTAGAATCACATATATATTAGAACTGAATGTTCTAATCTTGATGAACTCCTATATAAGAGTCTCATTATCTGTCTGGCTTCCTCTCTTGTTAGACATAGACATGAATCCTACGAGTTGGAGAGTCAGGCAGAAGAGCAGTAGACTGTCACAGAACCACAGAACAGTATTCATTTTGATAAATATTATCTAAACTGAGATTCAGAAAAATTCCTACCAGGGATTATAATTTACAGTATCATTCCAGTTCAAATAACTGTGTAATTTCTTTGTTCATCTTTCCTATCCTTAGGGCCTGCCTGGTCCACCTGGTGAAAAAGGTGAAAACGGAGATGTTGGACCAATGGTATGTTTGTTTTTTAAAAAAATCTTTGTATAGAGTTGACATAAATAATATTGTAAAGGATATTGTCTCCCATATATCCCTTTCCCCCCACCTCTTCCAAGTCAAAATATCCTCAGGAGAGGGTAGACTATTCAGCAAGAGCATGAACCAACTCAATGTCACCACCTAAACAAAGAAGTACTAGTATATGTACTTCCTTTAGGTTTATTTCTTTATTATACTGATTAGATTTATATCCTGCTGTATGATTACCAAGTAGAATATTTCAAACATAACGTTAATTTCTTCTTAAATGTCCATTTGTGACTGTTCTGCCATTCATATTTAGTGCCATAACATAGTGGGGAACCCAAAAGGACTTGTGGGGGGCACCTCATTTTGCCCTTTATCACCCATCTCCACACTATTTCCTCTTTTCCTCATTCTGTCAGCCCCCATACCCTCTCATTTCCCTGATTTTTTTCTCTTCCACACCCACATTCTAATGTTTTATCTCTCCCCACAATCTTCAGTTTTATTTATTATTTATTTACTTCATTTATACCCCGCCTTTCTCCACAATGGAGACCCAAATCAGCTTACATCATTTGCCTCTCATTTTATCCTCACAAAAACCCTGTGAGGTATGTTACACTGAGTATGTGTGACTAGCTCAAGGTCCCCAAGTGAACTTCCATGGCAGACTGGGAATTCAGATCTGGGTCTCCCACTGTCATGGATCAGCTGGGCACAGCCAACCCTGAAGAGGCAGAAGACTCTGCAGAAGAGGAACGGCAGCAAAGGAGTTCCCATCTCGCAGTCAGTTGCAGACCACCTGCTGCAGAAAGCTACTGTGACCCTACCAAGTAGTGATTCACATTCTGTCAGTAGCTTCCCAGTGGTTCAGGCCCACTGTTCAGAACCTGATAGCGTCCCACCATCCACCTCACCTCCCTTGTCTCCAGAACTGTTGGAACATAGACAGGAGGGTCAGTCATGAGATGCTGAAAAGAAGGTAGAGTGTGCGATTAGCTGCTCAGAGACATCTGGGTCTAGATAGTAAGGAGGAGAGCACACGAACCTTCATGATGTGATCCAGCTGTGAGACAAGTGTCTCTGCTATTAAGGGCGAAGAGACGGAGAGGCTGGCTGTAGAAGCAATGTGTCAAATTACTCCTGACCTCTCCAGCACTGACCCTGCCTTTGTCTCATGACTTTGACTATTTGGACTGTATCTGGAGCTCAACTTTTGGATTTGCCCTGAACCTGTTCCTGTTGCTGACTCCGTTTATGACCCAGGAACTGAACTCTCACCACGCCACACCAGATTACGCCTTTGCCTTGCTCGTACCTTAGCTTCGCCACCCTGCCCTGTGCCTAGCATGTACTGGGACACCCAGATTTGAGTCTAGAACTCTAATCGCTATACAACAAAGCTTTCATGGGATGACTGCTGTTGAACATTAGCAAGCATCCAGATCTGGGTAAATCATGCAAGTCACATGGTACCAAGTTGCCTGGTGATTGCTGCTGGGCCTGGCCCCTGGAGCCCTCCCAAAACAGCCCTAGAAAGAACCCTGTCCCCTTACACCACCTTTTACTGACAGAAACCAAGACTGGCAGCCTGGTAATATTGTTGAAGTTGCCAGCAATGGCCACTGAGGGCATTTTTTTCTCAAAGCTGCATGGACTGCTTCTGTAATGGAGGGTTTTTTAACATTTCAGACTGGGGCTTTTCTCAGGTTTGTGGAAGGATCTGTTTTATCCGTTCATGACTTCAGTCTCCAGATTTAAGTATCCACAGATGGGGCCACGCTGAGAATTAGATATATTGCAACTTACAGCTCTTAACTAGTTCTGAAAAAGTCTTGTACCTTCCTTGTACTGACCGCATGGCTGTTCATTTGTTGAATTTCTTTTTGTCCCCTTATAGGGCCCACCTGGACCCCCTGGCCCAAGAGGCCCTCAAGGGCCAAATGGAGCTGATGTAAGAAAGATCACCCTTCTAATGGTTTTTGCATTCATTTTTTTTTAACTAATTGTACATGACATAACTTACTACTTGTTGTCATTCTAGGGTCCTCAAGGCCCTACTGGTTCAGTTGGCTCTGTTGGAGGTGTTGGTGAGAAGGTAAAAAAACAGATTTGTTTTCTTTTTTAAACTTGCCTGGAGCAGAATGGTAAAGAACACATATATACAGAATATTTTCATTTATTTTTACTCTGTATTGTAAGGATATGAGTGTTGCTTGGTCACTGAGGTAATTTTACCAGAACAGAATCTACTTAAGGGCACAATAATCAGCATACAGGCACTTTCAGATTTCTTTTCTTTATAACCAACAAACCAAAATTATTCTCCCTCATGGATGAGGAGGAAACTTTGGAAACATGTGGTAGGGTCTAGTTAGTGACCATAATTCAAAATGGTACTAGTATCGCTTCCAGAACTTCCAACTTTGTTGGAAGTCACATAGTTTTTGTTTTTCTGGGAGTGCATGACTACACCGTGCAAACAGAATGCGCTAACAGGGTGTTTTGTGTAGGACTGGTGCAAGAGGCAAAAGAGAGGAGGGTTACGTTTTTGTCTTTTTGCTTGAGATTGCTTGGGGTTTTTTAGCTGTGTGGTATGTTTGTTTTCCTGAAGCTTGTTTTTGTTCTATCTGTGTGTTCTGCTATACTATGTCTTAGTGGGAGGGACTATTGCTGCTTGAGCTGAGTCAGCCTGCATTGCCCAAGGCTCAGGGGTGGACCCACAGCCCTCAGCTGAGTAATCAGAGTTCAGCTCCCTAAGAATTCAGTTCTTCCTGGGAACATCTAACCAGTATGAGAAAACATTGTGTGTTAATCAGGGAGTTTGTTGGGGAAGCTTGAATGGAAGCAAGAAGGAACCCCAATCACAAAGCATCTTGAAATAAGAACACACAAGTTAAGCTCCTGTGTGAAGGGCAAAGAAGTCAGGGCATTCTCAGCATAGGAATGTGTATAGCTGTGAGTCTGTGCTTGATGCACAGATCTCTTTGCTGTAGGAGATCAAATGTGTTCCCTCAAGGTTAGGGTTGCCAGACTGAAGAAGCTGAGAGAGACAGAGAGGTATGTAGATGAGACTATCGTGGAGCTGTCCAATGGGATACTGTTGTCTCTATAGATAAGGCAGGAAATGGTGTATGGGGAGTAAAGTTGTTCTGTTTATCAAAGATGGAATAGAGTTAAAAAATCTGAAAAACCTAAGAGAAATAAACATAGGTGGAGATAACTGGCTGTCATGGTAACTTAAAAGTTGGGGGTGCACTATCACCTGCTTGACCTAAATAGTGAAGGTGATCTTGAGAGGCAGAAGGAGATAAGAGGAAAATGTGGCAATAATAGGTTACTTCAGCTACCTTCACATTTACTGGGTGGATGTCTGGTTTAGTCATGTCATAAAGACATGATATCTGGATACTATAAATGGCTGTGTGTTGGTTGATCATGGAGCCATCTAGAGGGGTAGTAAAACTAGAAGGGTAGTAACCCTAGACTTGGAGCTTGAGACCCAGTGCAAGATGTAGGTGTTGTTGCACAGTGCTGTTAAGTTCACCATTTATGTCAATAGAAAGTTGCCCCAAAAGTCCAATACAATCACAGTTGATTTTAGAAGAGTTAATTTTACAATAATGAGGTGACTGGTCAGAAGGGAGCTGAAAGGGGAAATCAGGAGAGTCAAATCCCTTTAGGATTCTTGGAAACTGTTAAAGCCGGTTCTAGGGGAAAACCCCACAGTCATAAATGCTCACGGGAAAAAAGCTCACATGGAAAAATGCCACACGGAAAACTGCACACATGGAAGAAAGCCCATACACCAAAAAGCCCACACAGAAAAAGACGCCCACATGGGAAAATACCATGTAAAGCACCGTAGATATTTATAATAATGGATAACCATTTATCTCCATTTATGAGAATGAACAGATATTGCCTATATTTTATATTGTTATTTTAGGATTAAAACATGTCATATTCACATGCAATAATTTGTGTTGTGATTTTATCAAATATAATTAAATAATAATTTTGCTATGTTCATTAGGATACAAAACTGGCCTGTATGAAGAGGGCTTTAATGCTCTTGAGAGTAAAAGCTTGGAAGGGAAAATACAGGAAATAAAAGTGACCATTTAGTTATCAACAAACTTTATTAATAAAGAAAAACAATAACTACAGAAATTAAACTCTATATAGAAATATTTTAAATAAAATTAAATACTTTAAATTTATTAATTTACCATTTGTCAACCTTTGTATTGTTGGTAAGAAGTAATTTCTAAAATAAAGACAGAAAGATATTAAATTAAATAATGTTTCATACGGAGCATTTGCCGTGCTAAAGATACGGATGATAGGCGGATTTTCCGGGTGCGATCACCCCGCAACATCTGGGAAGCGTAGTGCACCTATGGCTAACCCGTGGCTTCTTGCCAAAGATACAGAGTAAAAAACTGGTACATATGATGTGCTAGTTTCTGGAAAACGCGGGGCAAGGGTGGGCATCTGATCGCATTTCCGCTGGAATCCCATGGCATCCGGCGCCCGCCCATGTCCCGTCGCAAACCGGATTTTTTTTTTAAGCCTCCACAGGATGTGCACAAATGCCCACCGGCACATGCGCACACTGTGGTAAGGGAAAAAAATTCCCATTTGCCACGGAAGCAGCGCCTAGCGATTGCCGGTGTGATCGCGCCACACCGCTTCTTTGCTGTGCTGCAGGATAGCCATGTGATCGGCACCTAAAGGCATACCCACGGGACCTCCCCGGGACATGTGATCGGGCTGCCATGCGTTACTTTGCTCCGGGGCAAAAAGCCACGCTTCTCCCCTGCATTTTCCGGCCCCGCTTTTGCCTCGTGGTTTCTCTGCCGTGTGGCAGGGGCCTAATTAAGGAGATTGGCTAATTTGCAATGAAGAATTATCTGAGCTATTGTTGTTGTTATTAAATCATTGTTATTAAATTATTTTTATTACTGTTATCGTTGTTGTTATTAAATGTTGTTGTTAAATAATTATTGCTTTTACTATTAGGGTTAGGTAGTCTTTTGTAGGAGACACTGGGTGTACCACACTGTATTTGTTAAAATACAAGTAAAGGGAAATCAAGCTAGGGAATTGGTTGATGGGCCAATGGCAGATGGAGCACACAGCACAGCCAGTGGGAGAGCTGGAAATGGCCAATACGTGAGGGAATTCTGATTAAAGATTATACTCGATAAAATCTCACAGCACAAATTGTTGCATGTGAATATGACATGTTTTACTCCTAAAATAACAATATAAAATAGGTAATACCTATTCATTCTTAAAAATGGAGATGAATGGTTATCCACAATTATAAAAATCTATGGAGCTTTACATGGTATTTTTCCGTGTGGGCTTCTTTCCAATTGGGCTTTTTTCTGTGTGGGCTTTTTGGTGTATGGGCTTATTTCCATGTGGATTTTTTTCCTGTGAGCATTTATGACCGTGGGTTTTTTTCTGTGGGCTTTTTTCATGTGGGCTTTTTTCCAGTCACTGAGTCATACATTCTTGTGGGTGCTGAAAATGAATATAGAATACTTCTGCTGTGGATATTCCTTTGTGAATGCTTCAGTGTTTTCAACTGTAGCAGGAAAAGATGAATGCAGAGAGGCAGAACAAGAGGATGTGGCAAGAGCACCATGGAAAACATACAAGAGATCTTCAGCTGCTGCTTCTACGATTCATTTGCATTAGTGAGCAACCATTGTCAAGTGGGCAAGGAGTTGCTGCAGTGGTTGGTAGATGGGACAGGAAAGGGGGGGTGCCCAAATATTTCTTAATCTGGAGAACAGTGTACCAGACATTGTACAAACATGAAGGGCCTGTGCAATGTGGATAAGGCATTCCACATACAGAGTTTGAATGGGGAAGAAGCTCACAATTCACCCAGCTGTCCTTGTAGGATTGTATTATTATCATATAACATTGCCTTTCATCTTACAATAGTGCTAAAAAGTAATCAGAGGATTCAAACAACTGACAGAAATAGCTCATTAGGCAACCAAGGAGATGAGCAGCCAGTTCACACATTACTTAGCCAGGTTACCAGTAGGCATTCTGGAGCAGGAAGTAAATATATTTCCTCACCATGCATACTGAGTATTATGTGACTTGAGCACAGGTCCATAAACCTGCAGGGGAGAGGAGGGGAGAGGAGAATGCAAATGGTTGTATCTACATGTATAGCTTTCATGTCACACATTCACCTCATGACTCAATGGGGAGCAGATACCTGCTCCTTTAGCAGGTATATGAAATTCTCTGCAGAGTCAGTGCTCCCAGATAGATGAAAGTGTAATCTAATATACCATGACTTTCTGCTAATCTTCTGAATTCTATAACATGAGCTTTGTGCTGTATGTGCAGTAACTTTTAATTTTCTGAATGGGAACGTCTTGCATAAAAATGCCTCATTACAAGAAAATAGCACCGTTAAGTCATCCAATTACAATTTTGCCGTGTCACTAAATAACATGGGAATCTTACTGAGAAGCTGCCATTGCAACACTAGTAATACTTGGAATGATGCTGCAAGAATTGCCTTTGTTGAGTATAGGAGATGATATCCCAGATGGGTTTTTTTGTATTTATGATCCAGTGTTCAGCTTATAGCAGATGTACATTAACATAATAGTTCAATGCTTTTTAATATTTCACTGTGATGATTGCAGCCTGTTTCTGTTTCATCCACTTATGCATAAGGGAATGATGTAGCTCAGACATAGACTTTTATAGACTGTGTTAAAGTAGCAAAAATATGAAATCAAGGCAGACAAAAATGGGTGTTATGAACATGAAACATTAACAATGTCCTTTAAAATAAGGAGCAGCATTCTCACTGTTGATTTGTGCTGATATTTTTGCTGTCATTGGTGTTACAAATCCAATAAAATTGGTTTATCTGAGAGAGTCCAGACAGAGTATAATGGGCAAGTTCTGTTGTGGTTTCAGTTAGCTAAGTTTTGGCTGTGTTCCAATACTGCAACTCTGAATTTCATGACACATCTATAACCTCACTTTACAGGACTCTCATTAGTAAATGATTGTGTTTCCAAGAATTTTAGTATCACCATATGGGCA